CCCCGCCCTGTCCCAGCCGCTCCGGGCCTCTGGTCAGCATGGGAAGGCATAAAGGCGGCTCCAGCCAGAGCGAAGGCGGTGCCGGCAAGCAGGGGAAGGAAGGCCCATTCTTGCACAAATCTTCGTGCATCGGGCCTCTAGTTAGAATAATAAAAAAACAATTTACAAGGAAGAAATGTTTAAATAATTACAGAAAAAGTAATATTATGATCTTTCCAAATTACCACCTAAGAAGCCCTGGCTAGTAGCTCAGTTGGTTAGAGCATTATCCCAATATGCCAAGCTTATGGGTTCAATCCCTAGTCAGTGCACATACGAGAACCTACCAGAACATAAACTGTGAACAAAAAATAGATCCAGAAACAAACAAGCATTGAACAGACCGTCAAACTTCAGAGGGAAGGCAGGGGAGGGGCAGGGAGTGGGGGGGGCGTAAGAGATCAACCAAAGGACTTGTATGCATGCATATAAGCATAACTAATGGACACAGACACTAAAGGGAGTGAGGGCACGTCCTGGGTGGTGGTGATGGCTGGGGAGAAGTCAATGGGGGAAAAAATAAGTGGAACAACAAATCAATGTTTCTCTCCTTTCCTCTCTCTTTAAAAATCAATTAAAAAACAAATTACCACCTAATTATTTTATACTCCTTAAATTAATGCAAAAATAATATTTGCAAAACAAGCCTGATATAGCGTGGGAAATAAAGTCAGTAATATTGAGATAACTGTGTATGAGGCCAAAGTGGGTGTTTGGGGCAGCAGGGGGACCACTCTGTAGAGTGGTTGGTTTTCTGGCCACTTTGCTGTAATCTGAAGCTGGTGCAGAATGGTACTGAATGTAAATTGTGATTGAAAAGGAAAAGGAAAAGGAAAGAAAAAAGAAAGAAAAGAAAAGGCCAGATATTTTGTTGGGTCACATTTGCATTTAAGTAAGAAATCCAAGAACCAAATGACAAAACAAATGAAATCCAGCTACTTTCTTCTGTATGTGGTCATTTACTCTTTTTCTTTTGCAACACTTCTGAGACAATTTATAGTTCTATTCTATTACCTCATAAGTGGTAATACATTATAATTTGTCAGCTTCAAAGCACACATTCAAATCCAAAAAAGAAATTATCTACATTCATACATTTTTTCAGTTTTCCATGTTTGGGAGTTTTGATTTTGTAAAGTTTATAGTTAAATGGCAAGTTATATTTTTAAGATTTAATAGTTTTCTTATTTTGACAGAGTGCCCAAACATACACACACAGATTTTCAGTGAATAATGGTTTTGTTATAAATTCCCAGCCTAGAGAGCTTTTAAAAGTTTATTTCAGATCTTTCCATTACACGTTTACAAATTCTGGCTTAAGTTTTTAAAACATTGGATTTCCGGTTTAAGTAATCTACGTACGTAGATTACATAATAAACCTGGCCTAAAACCTTAAAAGTATTTTTAGCTCTGTTGTGCTAACCATATATTAACATGTAAAAATTTATTAAAGACAAATTCACGAGTTTTCCATTCATCCCTACAATATCCCCCCCCGCCCCCCGCCTTTTTAGGGGCTGGGGAAAGAGAGAGAAGAGAAAGTGTTTAATGAATCACACGATAATGATGTGGTTTCAGATTAAATCTACTTCCTGGCTTCTCTGACTATTAGATGACTAGTTTCTCCATCTTCAGATGACTAATTTCTCCCAAGTTTTTAAATATACCATATGTAACCAGAGATGTAAGGAATCAAAGTCTGAAATGTTTTAAAAGATTTAAAATTCTTAATTTTTATATACCTTATTTTTAAAAAGTTTCTAATTCTAGAGAACACAAACTAATATGTTAATGATGGCAAGCAGATCAATGGTTGCCTGGGGACAGGTAGAGGCAGAAAAGGGAGGTGTGAGACATTACGAAGAGGCACAAGGAGATGTTTGGGACGATGGATATACTTGTTATTTTGACGGTTTCAAAACGCATCGATTGTACACTTTAAATAGGTACAGTTTATTATTTGTCCATTTTACTCAATAAAGCTGCTTTAAAAAACATAAAAAACAGAATTTCTATCACATTTTAAGTTCTTCTCTTAAAAATTTTAATGTAGACTTTGAAAAGTAGTCATATGTTCCTATGCAGTTTTTTAGAAATTATCTTTTGAAATCCTGGCCTCTAAGATCTCAGTAAACTTTTTAATTAAAAACCCTCTGAAAACATCTTAGTGATCCTACTATCATTGAATGAGTAGGTTTTTTTATGTAATAAATCTCACAAATGTGTAGAGTATAAAAATATAGAATGTTTTATAATACGGTTGTTACTCTGAAAAAATACAAATTAGCCCTAACCGGTTTGGCTCAGTGGATAGAGCGTCGGCCTGCGGACTGAAGGGTCGCGGGTTCGATTCCGGTCAAGGGCATGTACCTGGGTTGCGGGCACATCCCCGGTAGGAGATGTGCAGGAGGCAGCTGATCGATGTTTCTCTCTCACCGATGTTTCTAACTCTCTATCCCTCTCCCTTCCTCTCTGTAAAAAATCAATAAAGTATAGTTTAAAAAATACAAATTACATTGGTACACTAAAAATAATTCGCTTGGCCCAGCCAATGTGGCTTAGTGGTTGAGCATCGACCTATGAACCAGGAGCTCATGGTTGGATTCCCAGTCAGGGCACATGCCCCTGTTGCAGGCTCAATCCCCAGTCTGGGGCTTGCAGGAGGCAGCCAATCAATGATTCTCTCAGATCATTGATGCTTCTATTTCTTTCTACCTCTCCCATCCTCTCTGAAATGAATACATATTTAAAAATAATGTGTATGTTATTTAAGTGAATAGAAACTTTTTATATATCTTTTTTGTTAGTGAAGAATTTAGATGGACCTTATTCAACTAAACACCTGGATTACTAGTAATTAACATTTGCTTAATCTACTCTTTTCCTAAACTGCTAAATACAACCCTTAAACTGTTTCCCAAAAAGATGTCAGCAGAGCAAGAACTCTTTAATTTCTTATTCCCTACTCCCTCCCCACCCACAAAAAAAACATATATTACATATGTAATACCTTATTTTTATATTTGAACCATTTTTTTCTTATTTGATTCCCCTCCTCTGTGTGGAAAAGATCACTGTTTTCCTATCCAAAGTCAAGGTCTTTACTCTCACCTCCCAACTCCTTAACAGACTTTACTGAGTGCCTGTATGTGTAATCTAGTGTGCAAGGGCCTGGAAATAGAAAGACCGATTATGACTTGGTGACTCGCCTGGAGTTTAGCTGAGTCAGAATTAGATATGCCAACCATTAACACACTGTGGTATTGTTATAGAAGATTCAATGCAATGCAGGGCATGGGGGTACAATTGGGAAATGCAGGGAAGGCTGTTATCAATTTTCACCATTTCCTCCTAAATCTTCAATTTGTCTGACTCTTTCTTTCAGCACGTAAGCACCACTTTACTACTACCCTCCTGCAATCTAGGCACAGTGCTATCTCACTCATTCGCACACTCCCTCTCCTGTCCTCTTTTCGAACAGTCAGGAGAGGCTTACCCTTCATCTATCTTCATCCATCATTATTTGCTCAGCCCACTCTCTTTATGTCACTGCACCTTGGAATGGAATGTCTTCCACTCCTTCACCTTTCCAGCTTTAACTTAACTCAGTGGCCGCGTCCAGGAAGCCATTTGTCTCTGTGTTAGTGTGTGGTGCTCTGCCTCTTTGTTTGTTCTCATCGAACCCTATGCTGAGCTTCATCAGCAAATTCATCGTATTGCACACTGCTGGTCATTCCTCCATTACACTGTGAGCACTTTATAGAAATACTAGAGGCCCGGTGAACAAATTTGTGCACCAGTGGGGTCCCTCGGCCTATCCTGCGGGATCAGGCTAAAACCGGCTCTCCGACATCTCCCGAGGGGTCCTGGATTACGAGAGGGTGCAGGCCAGGCTGAGGGAACCCACAGGTGCACGGTCAGGGTCGCAGGAGGTTGGCCAGCTGGGGAGGGACTGTAGGAGGGCTCCAGGGCGTGTCCAGCCCATCTTGCTCAGTCCCAATTGGCCAGACCCCAGCAGCAAGCTAACCTACCAGTTAGAGCATCTGCCCCTGGTGGTCAGTGCACATCATAGTGACTGATCGACCAGCCGACTGTCTACCTCCTGGTGCACATCTTAGCAAGTGGTAGAGCGGCCTTAGCATACCATTAGCATATTACGCTTTGGTTGGTTGAACGAACAACTGACGACCAGACACTTAGCATATTAGGCTTTTATTATATAGGATTTCTGCTTTCTATTCCTAACATTTAGCACAGTACCTGACATTCAGTAGATGATCAAGAAATATTGAATTAATGGACTGTTGGTTTGAGCCTATTATTTTTATTACTACTTAACAATTTAGCAGCATGTACTAACATATTACATCAATATTTTAAACCAACACCACAAGACATGCCCTAAACAGAACTGTGTCCATTTTATCCTATATAATAAAAGGCTAATATGCAAACTGACCAAATGGCAGAATGATTGGTCGCTATGATGCGCACTGACCACTAGGGGGCAGACGCTCAACCCAGGAGCTGCCCCCTGGTGGTCAGTGCTCTCCCACAGGGGGAGCACTGCTCAGCCAGAAGCCACACAGGGAGCGGGCCTAAGCTGGCAGTCGGACATCCCCCAAGGGCTCTCTGACTGCGAGAGGGTGCAGGCTGGGCTGAGGGAACTGCCCCCCCCCCAGTGCACGAATTTCGTGCACCGGGCCTCTAGTTATTAAATAAACAATTATGTATTTCCTGGCCCAAATGATTTCTATTTAGACTAGAAAGCCAAAGCAAAATAAAAACTATCAACTCAAATTTAAAAAATGAAATATTACTAATACTGTAAATATCTTTGGATATTCTGTTTAGTTGCCAGAATTAAAACATAACAGCAAGAAATATTTAACCTAATAAAATTAAGGATAACAGATATTACAGAAACACATGTCTAGGCTAACATCTGAAATTGTATTAAACTGTATTGATCAGCCAATTATTTTTCTGCATACCAAATCTTTCAATTCTTATATACATTGCCTTCATTTTCAAAAATTCACTATTAATGATAAGCTCTAATAATGTCTTAACAAGAGTAGGCCTATACAAATTGCTTATTGATATTATTATATTTTAAAGATATTTTTATTGATTTCAGAGAGGAAGTGAGAGGGAGAGAGAGATAGAAACATCAATGATGAGAAAGAATCATTGATTGGTTGCCTCTTGTCCGCCCCACACTGGGGATCGAGCCACAACCTGGGCATATGCCCTGACTAGAAATCGAACCAGGACCTGCTGGTTCCTAGGTCAACACTCAACCACTGAGCCACGTTGGCCAGGCAGCATATGTTCTTTGGATTTGATGTAGATTCCTTCACATCTTTACCATCAAAAATTAAGATGAGTCCAGCCAGCAAGGGGCTCATCTAATCTAAAATTAGAGACCCATGTCATTAGCATAATTGCTCCAAATAGGGAAAACACTCAGTGTTATCCTTTGTCTTTATAGCCCTGGCTTTAGAGCAATGATTCACATTTCTTCCATCCATCTTTTTCAAAACATCCATCCTAAGTACTTCATATACTCACAGATTAGAGAGCCTCCCTCCACAATGGTTTTCAATACCTTTACCCTCTGACAAAACACTGACTGAACAGGAATTAAACCCCAGGTGAAAACTTGAAGATGCCTGTATCAGGATTCCCCTTCCTTAGATAGAAAATGACACTCTGAATGCTGAGATATCACTTGATGATAGTTCTATTAGTTAATTGCTAATCAGTAGGGAGACTACTGATTTAAACTAATATTCTGTGATCGACTACGTCATCTAATAATTTCCACTTACTTTCAGGCTTTGCATCTGCTGCCGCATGGCGCATACTTTTCAGCTGGTTTTGTACTCTTTGCAGTCTCTGCACTGCATGAAATAGCTTTAAAATAGAATTAGATATATTACTTGCTTAGTCTATTGAAACCTACCACTCATACAAACAATGAAAAATGCAAGTTCCACATAATTCCTGTGATATAAAGGAACAAATAATAAGAACCAAGAAAATTGCTATGTTAAATCCCAAATATAAATGGTTCCGGCAATACCCTTTCATGTAAAACTTAAAAAAAAAAAAAGAGCTTTCAGAAATTTAAAAAAAAAAAAAAAGTATTTGCTGAATTTGGTGGTCAAAGAAAAATACTTGCTAAAGAATACAGTTACCAGGCTTTCCTTGTTATAACATGGTTTTCTTAACTTTAAGGACTGCAAGCATTCTCACATATGATGTCTCAGAATCAAAATTTGATGCCAAGTAACCTCAGGGTCAGGCAGTGTAGTTGCTGCTGCAATAGAACAACTGTGATGCCAAACAAGTTCTGAGGAACCCAAACCCCTCAACTGCCCACTTAGAAGGAAATGGAGCTGATCTGAACTATACTTTTAATGTATAAGTCTACTCAGTTTTAAGAACGACTTTTAACAAAATAAAAGTGATATTTTCCTGGCCAAATTATTTTTTCGTTAAGGCAAAGTCCAAAAATGTGGATGGTGGGTGTTTTGGAGCCTTTTCATGATTTGCTTATTTACCGCTGAAGTAAAATGTAGAGGATACTGTGACCAGTGCAATAGAAAGGATGTTATCATAGCCCCAGAATCTCAACACCCCTTGAGAGAGTCTACAAGTTTCATCAACAGTTTCATTCATGAAACAATGAATATTTGGTAGTGTTGTAACAACATGAGCTCAGCATAGGCCAAAAGGGAGTGTACAGATATATACTGAGTATAGAGTCCCAAAGGTCCTTGATTCTGTTGGCACCACAAAATACTCTTAGAATATTCTATCATGCTCATAAAGGGAAACATGAACTTCTAAAATTCTTCTTTCTTTACATTTGAATTGTCATAAAGAACTATTTCTTTCATCATGAGAATATAAATTTTCATATGGATACCTGATTCTTTTGTTCCTGTTTCTGTTGTGCAAGAAATTCTTCCCTCTCTTTTTCAACTCGAAGTTGTCTTGCTATTTTAAGCATCCGTTGATGATTCTGAACTGTCTCCACCTACATTAAGGGAATAAGTAGTTCATGTTACTGTCAGGTTAAGGCATGTCACGTGACTCTGACACCCACTCATCATTTCCTTTTGGTAAACAGTACTCCCTGGAGATGACAGTCAAGCTCTAGATTCCAGGTCCTTGAAGATTTTGGGCTAGTGCCTAGGGAGATTCCCTTTCAGTCAGGGTTATTTGAGTCCCTCCTCAGATTGAATCCATGCCCTGCTTAATCTTTATTTGCATTCCTAAGTCTTTGCAAGTGCTTAACACTTGGGGCCAAAGTCTTACAGTGCTAATTCTTGCCTTACCCTTTTCTTCAAACGTTCAACTCTCTTAATGAGCTGATCCTTTTCTTCCTCCATTGCACTGATATCCTAAAAAGCAGTCAAGAAGACATTATCAGAAAAGGTATTCTTTGTAGAATTCAGCAAAGGGCTTTATATGATTATGTATCTATCATAATAACCAGAGCATTAAGGAACAAAGAACCTCCTTGGGATGAAGGACATTTCTATTCCCTCCATCCCCAATAATTTATTTGGCAGCTTGGTGTTCATCTAGAAAAGCAACTAAAACAGAAATTTATCCTAGGGAAACAATCATAGATATGCAAAAATGCTTAAATTATTTATACTATAGAATATTATTTAATCATTAAAATCATATTGTAGAAAGATAACAATGGGAATATACTAATGATAAAATGATTTAAAAAGCAAAATACACCTAGCTAATTTGGCTCAGTGGATAGAGCATTGGCCTGCAGACTGGAGGGTCCTGGGTTTGATTCTGCTCAAGGGCATGTACTGGAGGCAACCAATCGATGTGTCTCTCTCATCATTGATGTTTCTCTCTCTCTCTCTCCCTCTCCCTTCCTCTCTGAAATCAATAAAAATATACTTAAAAAATAAAATAAAATTATAAAAAGCAAGATACCACCCTAGCTGGTTTGGCTCAATGGATAGAGCCTGTGGACTGAAGGGTTTAGGGTTCAGTTCGGTCAGGGCACATGCCGGGGTTGCGGGCTTGATCTCCAGTAGGGAGTGTGCAGGAGGCAGCCGATCAATGATTCTCTCATTGTTGATGTTTTTCTCTCTCATCCCTCTCCCTTCCTCTCTGCAATCAATAAAAAATAAATAAAATACACATTTTTTTAAAAAAGCAAGATACAAATAATTATGGATCGTGTGATCTCTCACACACACATACACACACACACACACACACACACGCGGCCTGAAAGGATATACAATTAGACAATTTTTATCTTTTGTTATTTTCTATATCAGATATCTATATCAGTAGATATAGATATATACATATATATGTATATTAGATAGAGACTCAAAATGTAACCTTTTAAAATCATTTACCCTGGCCTCATTAATTTATTCAGCAAAGAACTAGCAAGGCCTTACAAAAGAAAATCTGCCTTTTGCTATCACCAGTTTCGATATAGTTTTAAGACTCATACTGAATTAACTAAAAACAAAAATACTAAATCTAACATTATTCAAATAAAAAATAGATTTTCTTTTCTTTACCCTTCTTATCTCTGCTGTGGAAAATCCAGATGTCTTAAGCTGCTCACATTCTTTATGCAAAGTTTTAAAGGCTTCCATCAACTCTTCATACTAAAAGAACAAGTTAAAAAATGATAAACTAATGACTAGACCCAGTAGGCTTTTCTTAATCAGGTTATCTATAAACTTATAGTGATTACTTAAATCACTGATTTTCAACCTTTTTCATCTCAAAGCACATATAAACTAATGACTAAAATTCTACAACACACCAAAAGACATAGTTTTTGCTGATCTGACAAAAAAATAGGTATAATTTTGATTCCTTCACACGGGGTGGCTATTACTGTGTTGGCTATTGTCATGTTTTTATTTGACAGTCTAAGGGAAAAGAGGTCATTGCCCTTGACTAAATAGTCAGGTATTGCATGTTATAAAAATTCTTGTGGCACACTGGTTGAAAATCGCTGACTTAATATCTTAAGGCCAAAACCCAGTATTACCTCAAAACTCTGGTAAGGAAAATGCACTGAAATTCCAAATTCCTGGCCCTCTGTTTACTTTCAGCCTGACTAAAAAGTCCTCTGAGGTTGCAAGCCTAGCATCTTTGCCTATACACAGTCTTTGCTGGGGCTCACATATCCCAGTTTTCCTGGGAGAGTGTCAATTTATACCTCGGTCCTGGTATAATAATTTGATAGTCCTTTTCTCTCTGATTTGGATGACAAATTATATTGTCACCTTACTGATCAGAAAAGTGCCCTGCAGTCCCAAGCCCAGGATCCAACCTACCCACAATGCTTAAGTAATAAATTATGCTAAAATCATTAACTTCAGGGTGTGCTTTTTTCTATCCACATGCACCTATCACTGAATTGGTATTTGTGTGCAAATGTCAATATTTTAATACATGGTTGCAGTTGAATGTTAGCTGATAACTGTTTTCCCTTTTGGTGCCACCTGAAAATACAGAGACAGCAAATAAACTAGAGAGACATTAACATGTATTTGAACATGTTCTTGAAATCCATTACAGACAGTTTTAAAATACTATTATGAATTGAATACCTGTTTATTGGTATCAGACACAGTTTCATCCTGAAGAAACTCACTTGGTACCTCCAGTTTTATTAAGAAACGAGCTAAATATGCTCTTTTCTTCAGCTCATTAGTCCTCTGAAGAAGCCAGTGGAGCACAGGGTAAATTACAGGTTTACTTCCAATCACCAGACCCTGACGAAAGGTACTCCTATAAAAAACAAACAAACAAAAAACAAAATGCATGCACACACATGTGGGCTTATAAGTGAACCTTGAAAAGAGATAACATTTACTCAAAATCTGATTTACAGTGTCCAGATTGCTTTCCATGACAATTTAAAAAGGATAAAAGCAATGCTATTCTATAGTCTGTGTGCACATTAACAATAAAAGTAAAAGTAGGCCTTTAATATATCACTGGAATACGTGGAAAGGTTGTGTTGGAACCATTACCTAGTACAGTCAGCCTTAATACTTCACTTCATTGACTACGCAGCTTAAGTTATGATTTTCATCTAGGATGGCAGCTAGATGATAAAATGGAATAGTGCATTTGCCTGGCCTTTTTGATTAGGAGAAAGAACTGACCCACTTACAACTTCTGCATGACAAAATAACATTAAAAGTTCAAGATTATTGAGCTAGCTGGTTTGGCTCAGTGTATAAAGTGTCAGCCTGTAGACTTGAGGGTCCCGGGTTCGGTTGCGGTCAAGGGCACATGCCTGGATTCTGGGGGGGCGTGCAGGAGGGAGCCAATCAATAATTCGTTCTCATCATTGATGTTTCTCTCTCTTCCTCTCCCTTCCTTTCTGAAATCAATAAAAATATATATTTTTTAAAAAGCTCAAGATTATTTTGAAACTCAGTGATGATCCGAGGCCATAGACTTAGGGAAACCAGGTAGTGCCTAGGAATACTGACAATAGCCTATGAAGGTTTGGCTATTAAAGCATAGTTTAAGGAAAGCAACACATTATACTATTAAATAAATTTTTAAAAATAAATAAAACTTCTCCAAATTAAAGAGAAAAAAAGAAGGCAACATGCAATCAGATTCTTACATGTCTGTGGCATTTCCTGGAGGTTTGTATTTAAGGATACCAAGGAGGCTTAACATCCGTTTGGCTGTTTGCTCTGGCATCTCCTCTCTGATATCAACAACTTGCTAACAATTAAAGAAATTTTTAAAAAATGTTATTGTTGTAAATCTAACAAAGAACAACATTTAAACTCACTTACAATCTACTAGAGCATAACAGGCACAATGTTCTCTTAATAAAATGGATAAAGTATGGAGGTCCCCAGATTCCAAGTGAGGGTGTATACAAGTCAGATCAGGATTCCATTAAGAATGTCAAGGTAAAAACTCTCCAGTGCAGAGACATGAGCTAACTTGCAATACAATAAAACCTTTTGTAAAAGCATTGTTATTCCTGTACTAAATACATTTATATTTGGAAGTGGGGAAATATTTTCTAAATAAGGTACAAGTTGATAATTTTTGAGCTAATAGAAAAAACTTTAAGATCATTTCCTATTACTTTACACATATAAGGCCTGTAAAATAAGGCCTCATGAAAATAAAGTCCAGAGAATGCAAATAATTGGCCCAAGACAGATATTGAGAGGCAGAAACTGGCTTTCCTGCCACCCTTTTCATCACAGAGAAAGACAACACTCTTACCTTTGGGTCAATCTCAGCCAGGACATCATTGAGAACTTGTAATAGTTGCATTGGCTCCAGGGAATCAAACGTGATTAAATTATAGCTCTTCTTAAAAGGCTCTTTATTGAGATTGTCCACAATGAATTTGATTTGATCACTCATAATCAAGGTCTTATAATTTAAACTAAAGAGTAAAAATAGAGAAAAAAAATTCCTCAATACTGATAACAAAAGTTCTGGGGGGAAACCAGTATTAAGATCATAGGAAGCAAGCATAGAAACTATAATTCTACATGGAAAAGTTATTTTATTGAAATAAATAAGAGTGGGACAACTTCATTATGAAAGCTTCAATATACACTGTTAATTTGTAACGCCAAGTGTTTTTGTATATGCATCTTGTGTGACAGCAGTCATCTGCATTAACAGGGACAAATGAATCAATCCCACCTACGTTAACATCTCTTCTGTTCTGCTCCACAACATCTACCCAGGGGTAAAGACTTGTTATAGACGGCAGACATATTTCTAATTTTTAAAACAGCCCAGCTGGCATGGCTCAGTTATTGAGCGTAGACTTATGAACCAGGAGGTCACAGTTAGATTCCCGGTCAAGGCATATGCCTGGGTTGTGGGCTTAATGCCCAGTGTGGGGCATGCAGGAAGGAGCCAATCGATGATTCTCTCTCATCATTGATCATTGATGTATGTTTCTCTCTCTCTCTCTCTCTCTCTCCCCCTTCCTCTCTGAAATCAATAAAAATACATTAAAAAATTAGCAGCCCAGGTTTAAAAATTAGGAGATATTGCTGCATTAATATCCAGATTTCCAGTCTCTCTTGAAAATCAGATCAGGCAACCCTGGGCCCACATTTTTGCATGACCACAACCAACTCGAGCTGAGTAGAGGCTGCAAGCTTTAGCCTGGGTATGCTTTCTTGGATTTGTTTTGGTTTCCTCCACCAAGCGATCTTCACCCACTAACGTTATGTTTGGCCCTATAGGCTTTGACTCTGCCACCCTTGAGTATTTCAGGACCTCATTTCCTTTGCCTCCAATAAGGTACCAGTCTCCGCCTCCCATTCCAAATCACCTACAGGCTTCTCATTGCCCATAAGATAAAGTCCAAACTTCTTGGCTTTTGAGACACTTTAAAATCTAGCTCAAAATGAGCTTTCCCCAACTGTATTGCCAAATTGTTACTCTTCACCCTTCAAACCTCAGCAGATGGAAATGGTCACTGCTTCCTAGTTGATCCACCTCTGCCTTCAGTTAATGCTGTTTTCTCCACCTAGAAGGACTGTTCTCCCTTTCCCCCCTCTCCAGAGGTGCAAATCCTAACGGTTTCCTAACCCTACCCTTCAACGTAAGTTCCTCCAGGAAATCGTTCTTATGCTACACACCAGGTTCTGCAACGGAATAACAGGGCCTGCCTTCCACAGGGCCTGCCTAACCACATGTAGTTACTCATGTAATACATTTTCTCTTCTCTGCTAAAACGTAAATTCCATGAGGACGTATCTGTCATTCCATCCTCGAACACCCTCTACATCTAAAACAGTGACTACTTCCACTAGACTGAATGAGTAAAAACTGAGTATCTGATTATTTAAGTGCTGAAACAGCATTACCAAGGTTTCTTGTGTCGCCTGCATGCAGACATCACTATGGGAAGAAGTAGTAGAATTTTGCAGGCAGGTAATTTTTTTAACTAGCAATTTTTAAAAATGAACTAAAAAAAGAATTTCAAAGTGTGTATACCTTTTTGGGGGGGAACACCTGTATATACTTACTTTTCAATAATTTAGAAATTATATATATTATTTATAGAATATATATATATATTCCCCCCCCCTTTCAAAAATACAAAACCCTTGTAAGACGTTACCAGAAGAAAAGAAACTAGTTGGGCTCCCCGCTGGCCCACCAGCTTTCTGAGGGTCACGCGCTAAGGACAGAGACGTGCTGCGCAGGTAGGCTGTCTATGCCCCGTGGGCTCGGCGCTCTAAAATTAGCAAAAGCAATTACTCTCCCTCTTCCAGAGGAAAGATGCCACACTAATTCACGAGCGCCTACTCTCAAAAGAACATAAAAACCCGAGGGGGGGTGGGCAAGAATTAAAACCAGGACGAGCGCTTATCTGGCACAGAGCGGGACAGAAACCACGCGCTCTGGACAGCAACTCGCAGGAGTCCGCAAAATAGTGTCCCCCCGACCCCAGGGCTCGGGAAAGGGGACCGGACCCCACGTCACACCCGGGCACCTCGGGGCTTCCCGACGACTCATTCCGCCGGGGAACGGCCTGGGACCCGGTCACCGCTGCAACCCCTCCGCTTGCCGCACTGGGAAGGGGATGGGAGGCACTTTTCTCCTATCTCGGGGTTCGGGGAAGTTTCCGAACACGGGTCGGCGAGGTTACCTCAAATCTTCAGGAAACCACTGTCCCCCACCCCAAGACGTCCCCGGGCTCTAGCGGGTTCCTAGAGACGAGCTCCTTGGCAACGGTTGCTAGACAGTGGGGCACGTCACTTCCGGTGGGGCGCCGCGTTTCCGGGGGATCCGGG